ATATTTTCTCAAATCTGCTTCAGCATCCATATTCCAGCTTTCTTATTTGTATACTAGAGGTCCAGTGCACAAAATTCATGCACTTGGAGGGGGGGAGGGGATCCCTCAGCCTGGCCTGCGCCCTCTCGCAGTCTTGGAGCCCTCGGGGAATGTCTGATTGACGGCTTAGCCCTGCTCCCAAGTGGGCCTAAGCCATCAGTTGGATATCCTTAGTGTTGCTGTGGAGGCGGGAGAGGCTCCCACCACCGCTGCTCTCATCAGCCATGAGCCCGACTTCTGACTGAGTGGTGCTCCCCTGTGGGAGTGCACTGACCACCAGGGGGCAGCTCCTGCATTGAGCGTCTGCCCCCTGGTGGTCAGTGCATGTCATAGAGACCAGTTGTTCTGCTGTTCGGTCGATTTGCATATTAGCCTTTTATTATATAGGAAGTTGTTTGTATCAAGACCTAGTCTCTTTATGAGTTTCCACAATATACCATTGGTTTTATTTAATCATTTAATCTTCATCCTAGGATATGCTTATTCATTTTAGAAAGAGGAAAGGAGGGAGGGAAGGAGTGAAGAGAGAGACAGACAGAGATAGAGATAGAGAGAGAGAGAGAGAAAGAGGGAGAGAGAAACATCGACTAGTTGCCTCTTGTATGCTCCCTGACCAGGGATGGAACCCACAAACTAGGTATATGCCCTGACTGTGAATCAAACCTGCAACCTTTGGTGCATGGGATGATACTCCAACCAACTGAGACAGCTGGTCAGGGCTATCACTGGTTTTAAGCAGTTTGTGACTAATATGTTTATGGCAGCTTAGCAGCAAAATCATGAGAAATCACACAGCAGGGTGCATGAGCTTCTGACATCTTCATCCATTCCTCTCTCTACCTTCCTCATATCAGCCTCACTTTCTCTGCTGAGTGAAAGCTAATTCTACTAATCCCAGGATAAAAGGCCTACTCATTATCAGCCGTGAAAGGTTCAACTTGTCTAAAAGGTAAATTATCTCAACAGTCAGAATCTTCCTTCCCTAAAACAATGAAATTTTATATACCTTGTTATAACAGATCACAATATTAACTGCCTCCATTTAAATGTTATTGGTCAAATGTTTAAATGTGATTGGTCAAATACACAGTGCTGTGTTTTGTTCAAGGTGATGTGACTGGGCATGAATATTGTCCTTGAGTACTAAGTTCATCTGGTCAACATAAAAATATTATCCTTATTTTACAAGCCTAAGGAGAATTTGCTAGGCCTCTCAAGATAATGTCATCATTAATAGTCACAGGTGTGCCAAAATGAAACAGACCAATTCGTTAAGTAGTGAGCTACCTGTCATCAGAGATGTTTAATAATAGTTTCAGTGGGCACAGAGAATGAATTGTACTCATTTGTATATGAGGTCACTTCTAGCCCTGATATTGTTTCTATATAAAATCAATAATTTCAAGAAATACTTTAGGTTACTCACTCCTCCCACAAAATTAGCCAGAGGATTAGTTGAGTTCTCTGTTTCTTTTTGGTTATAAAAACCTTTAAATAGTGCAAAGTAGAACTCAGGCTTTCTGACTAATAATTCTGATGCCCTGCCCCCTAATGCTATTCATCTATATGTACACGTTTAAAAGTCAATCATGGTTGACTATATCCATTGAACACATCTATGAATTTTTAGATGTGTAACTAAGGTGAATGTAATCCCTAACTGGACAGCCCACAGTTAGATAACCTGGTTGCTTCTCACTTTTCTTTGTTAGTTTTGCAACACATTTGGATGCTGAAAATTTTAGTGGGATGCTGACATAACATTAGTATGTTAAAGGAAATTGCAAAGGGAGAAATTAACATTTAACTAGATTTTGATTATTTGAAAGAAGACAGAAACTCCAGCCAGTGATTCGGTTTAGCTGGGAATACAAGAGTAATTGATGGTTGCTAGCATTAGAAAAGATTTTCCAGAGAGAGGAACTGTCAAGGTAGAGGAGGGAGGAGAAAGATCTTTAGACTTCTAATACCTGGCATGGTTGCAAGAAAGACTGTGAGCATGAGAGTGAGCAGTCCTGATGGAAGACTTCCAGCAAATAATGTATATTCAATTCCTGTCCAGGTTACACACTTGACTTAGCTTAACTTCAATGCCATAAGTTAAACGCTCATATCCTTTTCTTGTGATGGCAGGAGATGCTGAGTTGTCTGCGGTGCTATGAGTGGTTTCCACACTGTGCTAATAAAACTTGCCTAATTCTTGCTCTACTCCCGCCCTACATCCTGTATCAATGAAAAGCCGAGACCACCCAGAAATCGAAAAACAAGAGTATATTTAAGATAGTTTTGCCAACCACAGTAAGATAGTTCATAAGAAATGACTGCAGCCCTAACCGGTTTGGCTCAGTGGATAGAGCGTCGGCCTGCGGACTCAAGGGTCCCAGGTTCGATTCCAGTCAAGGGCATGTACCTGGGTTGTGGGCACATCCCCAGTTAGGGGTGTGCAGGAGGCAGCTGATCGATGTTTCTCTCTCATCGATGTTTCTAACTCTCTATTCCTCTCCCTTCCTCTCTGTAAAAAATCAATAAAATATGTTTAAAAAAAGAGAAAGAAATGACTGCAGAAATAACGTTGGCAATATTTCCCTATTATTCCCAGTGAAAACCAGGTCCCTTTAAGATCAAGGAATTGAGTGTTTGAATTCAATGCTCACTTGAATATACAAATAAATGTAGTTACTGTGTTTCAAACAGTAACTACATTTATTTGTATATTTTTAAAAACCTAGAATAATTGAGCATGTATTGTGTACCAGACATTGTGCTATAGAATCACGTTCATGCTATTATCATAAATAAAATACTATTCTCACTAAAATAAGTAGGAGTATTCCTTTGCTTCATAGTAAAAGCCCTTTGTAATCTGGCTTCTCAATTACTATTTGTTTATTGCCCCTCAATTTTTCCTTTGCTCATGCCTTTTCAAAATATACTCATTCTTCAAGGTCTGGTTTCATTTCTGCCTGTTCCTCTTCAACACAGAATGTCTCCTCCTCCTTGGAGCAGGAAACCCTTGTTATCTGTAATAGTCGGGCACTCATCATATATTGTCCAGTGTCGTCTTGGCTGGTGTTGGTGTATTGATATCTGGCTTTTCCCATGAGCACATCCTAATCCCCAAATAGATTTTGTGTTCTTTCTATAAACAAGCACAATATGTTTGGGTTATGCAATTCATAGTGGAAGTTCAACTAAACTTCTGGATGTTCTCTTGCATCTGAAAAGTAGACTCAAATATATGTAGAAGGACTAAGAACGGGGTATGCACCTTAAGAATAAGAAGTGCCCTAGCCAGGTTGGCTCAGTGGATAGAGTGTCGGCCTGCAGACTGAAGGGTCCTGGGTTTGATACCGGTCAAGGGCACATGCCTGGGTTGTGGGCTCGATCCCCGGTGGGGGGCGTGCAGGAGGCAGCCAAACAAAAACTTTCATCATTGATGTTTCTATCTCTCCCTCTCCCTTCCTCTCTGAAATCAATAAAAATATATTAAACAAACAAACAAAAAAGAATGAGAAGTAATGCTTAGCTTTGTTGCCAGGAAAAAAGAGGGTGTATTCTTGTATAATGTTTTATATGCAGGACCCAAAACATGCTTTCTTTTTATGCAGTGTAGGCAGTATCACCCCGCACCCCCAACAAAACCCTTTTTTCACCTTTTTACTCTCCTTCTATCTTCTATTCATAGGCCAGTTATTGGCTTCTTATGGAGCTACAAACACATCTGATGAGTAAGTTGTAGTTTGGTCTCCCAGGTCAACAACTAGAAGTCTTTTCTGTGCAGGTATAAAGTGGTCTCCTAGGGAAGTGTGCTGTGCTGTGTCTTTCTTGTGAGTAACCCTCCCCGGGTCCTGATCTGAGGTTTTAAAGATGTGGACTCTAAGAGTAATGTCTTATTTATACCGGGACTCCTTTGGGTTGAAATAACAGAAACCCAATTTAAAAAGGGGAATTTTTGTGTGAAGATACAAGACTGTTTCATGGATGAGAAAGCAGCTGGCTCCCAGGTACCATGTGGAAATGTATCTCTTACCTTTACTTGATTCTACAGGTCTGCTTTATTCTTCTCCCTTGTTGCACATTAGCTTCTGTCTTTCCTACCCACATGATGAAATTTGGGGCTAACAGTTTCTGAGTTTGAAATCCTAGAGTCCAAGTGTACAGAGAAAGATTGCCTTGACCCATGCCCCAATCAATACCTAAAGACAAACTTCAATTGCTCTCTCGGGCCAAGGGCCCACCCTGGAACCAATAAAATGTGGTCAGACATGGAATATTTCATTCTATTGTATTTATGGGGTAATCATTTGGCTGGAGGGTGGTAGGAAAGGGCTGTTGCCTGGAGAAGATATGCTGGACAGATCAAAGAGTAGAAGTTTGCTACAATGTACATGTGTATAGAGGTGAAGAGTTTACAACCCCTTCCCGTATCTGCTATCTCAGTGAGAGCCTCATGATGTTGAGAAACATAGGCGAGACAGGAACTATTGGTGCACAACTTACATCAAAGGTCATAAAAACATTCTTAGAAATTAAGTGACTTGTGCAAATCCCACAGAAGGGTAGAAAATTATCATTCCACTCTCCAACAAAACCCATCTTTCAAAATGTTCCTGAAATCCCACCACTTCTCAGAGTCGATGAACAGGTAAGGAATACTATTTTCACTTGTCTTCTCCAGAAAAAAAAAAATAGCAATTCCAGGGTAGTGTAATTTCAGAGAAGCAGGGATGAGGGAAAAGGAGAGTGAGGCAGAGAAAGAGAGAGAGGGAATATAAGGGAGTGAGTTACTGGGGCCACAATTTTGAAATAAGCTGATTGATTTTTATCATATGATTTTTTCAGAGAGGCTGTTTGAAGCTCCTGTGTGTGGCCCAATGGGCAGGGGAGGGAAAGGGATAAACATTTACCCACTGGCTTCCATTGCCCTTGACCAAAGATCAGCCCCCAGGGCATTAACTCACCAACACTTCCTGTTGCATGTGCTTGGAAGACACAGCAGGACCTGCTGGACAGCAGAGAGGTCCTAGGGTAGAAGGCAAGATATTGTCAGGTCATACATAAGAGTGACATGAGGGAGCGGGAGGTACCCATGGAGAGAGTCTGGCTGGCCCAGAAGGCCAGGCTCTATCATGACATGACCTCCTGCCACAAAGGTGGCAAGAGACCTCAACAAACCTCCTTTCTGTGGCCTATAAGACTGTAGTTGATGCCAAGGCAATTTCCTGGAGGGTCATCAGTAACACTGAGCAGCTGGCTGCATGGTCTAAAGTGGGGATGGTGACACTTCTCCTATTCCACCTCAGAATTGATCCATTCCTTCTTTATGCCCACACTATTCTTCACACAAGTATATACAAATTTAACACAATTACTTATTCAGATTTTTTTCCTCTCCTAGAGAAGATTTCTGTGAGGTTGGAGCAATGGTGACTCAGTGAGTCAATAGTTTATTGAGATACATCTACACAATGGAATATTATGCTGCTGTAAAAAAGAAGGATCACTTACCATTATGCTAAGCAAAATAAGCCAGTCGGAGAAAGATAAATATCACATGATCTCATTCATTTGTGGAAAATAATGAACAATATAAACTGATGAACAAAAATAGATCCAGAGACATAGAAGCATCAAACAGACTGTCCAACCTCAGAGGGAAGGCAGGGGAGGGGTGGGGTAAGAGAGCAACCAAAGAACTTGTATGCATGCATATAAGTACAACCCATGGACACAGACAGTAGGGGGGTGAGGGCATGTGCTGGGGGGTGGGAACGGCCGGGGAGAGGAATGGGGGAAAAAGGAGACATATGTAATACTTTAAACAATAAAGAATTTAAAAAAACATTCAAAATAATTCATACAACAGATAAAATAAATAAAAAGCATTTTATCATGAAAAAAAGTTTATTGAGTACCTACTATGGGCTGGGTACTATTTTAAGTGCTAAGAATAGAGTAGTGACAGATATAAATATTTAACTTTTTGAAGCTTACATTTTAGTTTGTGTGTGGAGAGACCAATAAAGAAATAAGTAAAAAAAATATATTGTGTGAGATGGTGATACATGCTTTGAAGGAAAACAAAGCAGGAGAGTTGGATGGGAAGAGTGGGGTGGGGAGGGAAGGTTGATTAACTAGGGTGGCTAGGGAAGGTTTCACTGAGTGAGTGACATTCTAGAAAGAGCAGACATGAACTGTTAGGGGAAAAAAGTTACAGGGATAGAGGAAAGCAAGTTCAAAGGCTCTAAGGCATGCTGGGTATTTTGCAGGAAGGACAAGGAAGCCAATGTGACCAAAGAAGAGTAAGGGAGTAGATGTGGTCAGAGAATTAATATGAAGTCAAATATCTTAGAACATGAAAATGACTTTGGCTTCCACTAGGGCAGTGATGGCGAACCTATGACACGCGTGTCAGAGGTGACACGCGAACTCATTTTTTTGGTTGATTTTTCTTTGTTAAATGGCATTTAAATATATAAAATAAATATCAAAAATATAAGTTTTTGTTTTACTATGGTTGCAAATATCAAAAAATTTCTATATGTGACACGGCACCAGAGTTAAGTTAGGGTTTTTCAAAATGCTGACACGCCGAGCTCAAAAGGTTCGCCATCACTGCACTAGGGGATGGATGGTGAGGCAAGTAGAGCTTTAAAGCACAGCAGTGATCTGACTTACATTAGGGCTGGGGGGAGGTGGGCAAAGTGGGGGAGGATGGAGACACCTGTAATAGTGTCAACAATAAAAATGAGCCCTAGCTGGCCTGGCTCGGTGGATAGAGCATTAGACTTTGGACCAGAAGGTCCCGGGTTCGATTCTAGTCAGGGGCACATGCTCAGGTTGTGAGCTCAGATCCCCAGTGGGGGGGCGTGCAGGAGGCAGCTGATCAATGATTCTCTCTCATCATTGATGTTTCTATCTCTCCCTCTTCCTTCCTCTCTAAAATCAATAAAAATATATTTTAAAAAATGAATTAAAAATAATAAAGTGTTTGTTGTTTTTTGACCAAGATGGTAGCAGAAGAGGTGGTGAGAGGTGGTGTCATTCTGGTTTAAAGATGGAGCAGATAGGATTTGTGATGGATTAGAAAGGAGATTTGAGAAAGTAAAGCAAAGAAGATTACTCCAAGTGTTTGGCCTGAGCCAAGACAAGGAAGGGAAAATTTTAGGGGGAAGATTAGTAGTTTAGACAGGAAATGGCTTTTAGACATCAACATGGGATTATTAAATCAACAGTGGATTTTGAAGTGTGAAGTTCAAGGAAATGTTTATGGCTAGAGATATATATTTGGGAGCCATCAGTATGAACTTGAAAGCCATGGTACTAAATTAGATCACAAAGTGAATGAATGTAGATAAAAAGTGAAGAGGACAAAAGACTAACTCCTAAGCCACTCCAACTCTAAGGGGTTAGAAAGGTGAGGAATAGTCAGCAAGGAGACTTGGTAAAAAGTGGCTATGAGGGCCCTGACCGGTTTGGCTCAGTGGATAGAGCATTGGCCTGCGGACTCAAAGGTCCTGGGTTTGATTCCGGTCAGGGGCATGTACCTTAGTTGTGGGCACATCGATGTTTCTCTCTCATTGATGTTTCTGGCTCTCTATCCCTCTCCCTTCCTCTCTGTAAAAAATCAATAAAATACATTTTTTTAAAGTGGCTATGAGGTAGGAGAAAAACAGAAAAGTGTTTTCTGGAAGCCAAGATGAGAAAGTGTTTCAAGAGTTGGGGACTGAACAACTTGGCCAAATGCTACTGGTATAGATGCTGAGAACTGATCCTTGGGTTTAGCAGCATGGGCATCATTGGTGACTTCGAGCAATTCCGTGTAGTAAAGAGGAAAAATGCCCCAAAGGAAATTTAAATGAGAATGGAGGGAAGAGATACTGAAAGCAATAAATGTAATTCTCTAGAGCATCACTTTAAAGGGAAGGCAAGGAAGGAGGGTGGCTGCTGGAGAGAAGGAGTAAGGAAGTGTGAATGGAGGGTCTGCTTATATGCCTCTTGGAAAGGTCCGGAGGAACTTCCTGGCAGAACCAGGCAGAAAAATGAGTGACTGTGAGAAAAAGGAACAAAATATCTGCATGGGCCACCGAACGGATCCACACAGTCCCTGAATCGATGAGGAAATACATTGTGGGAGAGAAGGAGCCTGGGTCAGGCCTAATGCCTTAAAGGTTTCGGATGTGAAAGGCATTCATAAGGAGCCTGCCAAATAGCAAAGTTCTCTCCTAATCTGTGAAGCTAAAATGTGGTCTGATGGCATTTTCTGAGAGGTTCCTTTAGAGGGGCAGCTTATAGAACTTGCAGTTACTGTCATCACCTTCATCATCAAATAGCAATTAAGTGCCTAATTTCTCCTACCTCCTCCTAAATTACAGTAAGAGGGCCTTGTTCCCTGGGGGAACTGGTTGTGGTAACCAGCAGTACTTTCAGGAGGCCAGAAGGTCAGAGATGGGGGGGGGGGAGGGGGAGGGGGAGGAAGTGAAGATGGGCATGGGGTAGATAGAGATGCCAAACCATTCTTGCCACCAGTTCCTGATTTTCACCCGGCCTCTCCAAGAGCCCCAGTGGATAACTCTTCCCTGTTACTTCTTCCTCCTTTGCTCTTTGCGGCCCCTACTTCTCCTTTTGCCATTTTCTCCCAGTCCAGGGGTGGTTCTGAAGATAGCCCGACCGCTACTTGCCTCTTCACTGCCTGCGGGCGCACCGGAGGCGGACCGAGACCCCTGAAACTCCAGTGGGGCAGGGGCCGGCGTTCTGAGCATGTGCGAGCAAGACTCGGGACTGGGGCGAAGGAGGGAGGCCGGCCCCGAGTCGCTGTCCTAGACGCAGAGCCAGGCTAGGGCGAGCGCAGGGCCGGGCGGCACTCTCCGGAGCCGAGCCCGGGCGCCCGGGGCGCAGCGTCTGCGCCCTGTCCTCCGGGCGTGGGCGAGCCGGCCGCGTGTGCCTCGCTGTTTGACGCGAGGGCGAACCAATCAGGGCGGCGGCCCGGGCTGCCATGTGACAGGCGAGGCGGCTCCTTTCCCCAGGTCGGCCAGAGGGAGGAGAGAATCGGCGTTCGCCGCGAGCCTTCGAGAGCAGCGGTCGCGGAGGAGGCGGCGGCGGCGGCACCGGCTCGGACCTGCAGCGCGCGCGCATCCCGGGGCGCCCTGCACCGCTGCGAGCTTCGCGGGCCGCGGGAGCCGGGACAGGAGCGGACAAAGCAAGATGGCAGGGATCTTAGCCTGGTTCTGGAACGAGAGGTTTTGGCTTCCGCACAATGTCACCTGGGCGGACTTGAAGAACACGGAGGAAGCCAACTTCCCGCAGGCTGAGGACCTCTATCTCGCCTTCCCCCTGGCCTTCTGCATCTTCATGGTGCGGCTCCTCTTCGAGAGGTAAGAAGGGCTGGAGCGCTCCTCCCCTCCCCCTAACACACACGCGCGCACACACACACTCGCACACCCTCGCGCGCACACGCACCCCGGCGTGCTCTGTGGCTCCTGCCCCCGCGCCCCCAGCGCTCGTGCCTCCCCACCTTTGTGTTCAGGAAGGGGTTGCTGATCCCTCGGTCCGGCTGCCGTTCCGGGATCCGGAGAGGGTCCCTGGCTTGCCTACGGGTTCCTCCGGGCGCCGGAGAGGGGCCGCGAGCTGTGGGGTCGCTCCCCGCACTCCTCCTTGGCCCGATCTCTGGCAGCGAGGACAGGCCAACAAAGGTGAGCGGCGGCCGGCCGTGGGACGCGCCGCACTCCGCGGGGCTTTCCCTCTCCACCCCGCGAGCGCGCCGCGCTGCCCCGCAGGCTTGCCCGCCCAGGCTCGCCGCCACCCACCTGACAGCCCGGAACGTTCCGGACACGCAGCCGGGAGGGCGGAGGAACCGCACAGACTTCCAATGGGTTCACCCCAATCGGCACACGGATTTGCCAGGGACTCCTTGCCTTCTGGCTACTATTTGATTTCCACCGGTGATACTGAGCATCAGGCCCACAGTTCTGGGAAATAGGCGACAATAGTTTGTAGGTTTCCAGCACTCCAGGCCATTAGCTGTTTCTGTACAAGAGGATAGGACAGGGTGGGCGCACAACCTGCAATGGGTGACATTAAATTGATAGATGCTTCCTATGAATAACCATACTTTTGTTTTGGTACCAGAACGCACTTAACATTTTTTAAAAAAGAATGAACATATTATTGCTTATATAAATCTCGGATTCGGTTGGGTAGCCGCACTGTGTCATGAACAAACTTGTGCTACTTTCACTGAATCAGTCTTAGTCACTAAACTGGATTTTGCCTGCCCTGGCTCTCCTGGTCTTATTGAAACGGGACCGGGATAGCAGCACACTTGTTTTTCTCAACTGAAAACCACCCCTTACGCTTCTGCTTTAGCCCCTTCATCAGGAAAGGCTGAATTTCTTAGATCACAGGGTAAAGACCAGTTCTCACTTCCACTCCTCCTCTCTTCCCCTGCGCCCAACTCACCTTGGTGTTGTTTCTTCAGCTTTTGCTCTGTTCTTTTGTTTGCTGTTTCTGTTTGTCTAACACCGCTATTGAGGATGTTAAATTTGTTGCTGGAAATGGCAACAGACAAAGCTTCATGGGAACAACAAGTATATTTTGTTTACGAAAGGGACATTTTTCGAAGGGTAATATTGTTGCTTAAGGACTAAGTGAGCTGTCCACATGCAGAGATTGAGTGTACAAGGGAACAGATTTAAAGACCTATTTTTAAATGATTGGAATCCAGCACAGATACCTCATTGATCCTGTCTAGCACTGAGACTTGCTGTGAAAAAGTGGGCGTGTTTGCAGGTTTAAAGTTGCTTCTAGAGCAAATGTTTACTTACAGAAAATAGGAATTCATATTTAACCTTGCTATCTCTCTCTCAAAAAAAGCCTCTCAGGAACAGATTGCTCTGTATTGACACATAGTAGGGGCTCCACACAGTTGCCAAATGATATCTAATTGATTCTGATTGATAAATCCTGGCTGGGATCACTTTTAGCTAGCGAATGCATTTGAAAGAGATGTGGAGTCTTATGTTTTGGACAACAAAAGCATGTCAGCCGATGACCTGTTTGCAGAAAGCTGATTCCAGGCTGTTCATTAGGTTGGAGGAAAAGAATATTAGAGAATGGAGACAGCTTTCTACTTAGACTTTCTCTGCCTTAAAAAAATAAAAGTAATGTAATAATTGAAAACTGGAAGTTCATTTTTCCTCTTCCTGAACATTTTTTCTCTTCCTTTGCATAATCCTGTGACTTAAGAGTTTGCACAAAGGGATCAATCAGCTTCTTTCAAGTGTCAGCCCCAGCAAATGTCCTCATATTGATATGGAGAGAGTTGGTCATTGATCAATGGCCATTCAGGCCATTGATTCAAGTATAAGGGATTTCATGGCTTGTATGGAAAGTGAAAGTTTATGATTAATGTTCAGAGTAATACTTCAGTATGGCCCACATACCACAAGATGCTACTGACTTTTGGAAGGGTGTCTATTTTGTTTCTTGTTAAAGCTGTGACAACTCTGCCTTTAACCATTCAGACCACCTCAGTTCTCTAAAAAATCCGAGTGCACAGTTGTATCCAGAATTACGAGTTCGGCATGTTTCTCCTCTTCTCAAACCTGAGCAACACATTCTGGCATTTACCCTGTGCCCTTCATCTCAGTATCCATCAAGGGCCAGAATCAACATAACTGAACCAGGCGATATTATCACTGGTATGACTCACTTTTAGTGCCCTTCTAATACGTTGCGCATGCATTTTTTCCCTTTGCCATATTCTGTAATGTATAACATGATTTAAAGGAGCCTGTTGTGTATCCCTTTGCGAAATAAAATGCTTTTATAATAGGAATAATTCCCTCGGGTATTCTATTTGCTTTTCTTCTATTGTCATTGATTTCAAAGCTGAGAACATATCTATGAAATACCTGATTATCCAAGATCCTTATTTCCATTAAATGGGGTCTGTAATGTCCTTGTTGCAGCTAAAATTGTGAATTTGAATACCTTCTCCTCAGTTTTGTGTATTTCTCTCTGTGAAGAATTGACTGAATTGGACTTGTGCCCAGCTGAACAGTTCTGTCCTTTCCTATCCACTCTCACTGTTGGGGTGATGACAGGGGAGGCATTGGTGGCCGGAACAATGTCATATTATAGTACCATATGGGCAGTAATATGGATGCCCAACATGGTTGGTTAAAAACGGAGCAGCTTCAGTTCAGTGACTTTCGGCCGAGTCTGTGAATAGCCCAAAGCTTGGTGGTTTTAAGTATAGCCTTTATACTATACTTAGCGCTGGGTAGGGATGGGAAGGGCCACTATAGATATGTCTTGATTGACAGTAAAATATCTGATGTGAAAAGAAAACTGAATGCTTTCTCCTAGAATGAAAATGGCAGAGTGTTCTATTGTATTATGTTGTTAGCTTGATGACAGGGAGCAAAATCTTATTTAATAATGTGGCATTATTATCTATTTGATGAATTTTCTTGATTCAGTGCTTGTTTAGGCTTACTAATCCATTCTCTGGAATTACTGTATACTAAATGCTTCTTCCAAATTTTTTTTATATGTGTGTTGCTATGGCATTCATAAATGTGGGATTACACTTCTGCTGAACTTCTGTTGGGGAATAAAAAATTATTTGAGCTATTGTTATGAAAGATAATGTTGATGCATTTTCTTCCTTGGGGGTTTAGGAGAGAGATGCAGAAAGTGTCAATTGAGAATCAGAACATTCAAGTTCTAGTCAAAACTTACCTCAAACTAGTGCAGGCACCTAATTTCTCTCTGTCATTTTCTCATCTGTGAAGCGAAGCAGCTGGCGTTGGTAAGGCAAGGTTGCTTTCGGCCTCCCGATTATCTGATTTCTGTGGCTTACTAATTGTTTTCTCATCAAACTTTGAAGCAGGCTAAACGTCATTTTTTTTTTCTCCTACAGGTAGATATAAGTCATCTAAGAATACAGAGATTTTTTCATACAAATATTCCAGCCAATGGTTTTGCTTCTTGTATTTTTCAGTTATGATTGAGTTGAAAGAATCATTTGGGCTATTATCATTTGTGTTCCCAAAAGTATTTCAGAATAACTAACAAAGAAGATTCTACAGAAAAAGCAATTGCTCTTTCCTTGTATCTCTTATAGACGGACCCAGCATACACCCAGCACTCCTTGTGGTGGCTGGAGAGGCAATGAGAAGCCCATTCCTGTCACCTTGGCTCTCAGAGTGGCAAGCTCTGTGAGAACTGTCATTCTCCAGGAGGCCCACCCGTGTTGCTTTGGCTCATTCAAACAGTAAACAGCAGTGTCTTAGCTGTGTCAGAGGGACTGCCTGGCCAGCGGGCTCTTCTTATGGGCATACTTAATATATTTGCCTCGCCAGCAGCCTTTACTGAAGTCCTGGAGGAGAGGAGACAAAGAGAGAGAAGAGTGAGAATGTATTCCTGATGGTTAGAAGGGAGAGGACAGATAGGAGTGAATGACTGCCAGGAAAAGTGGGGGGTCAGGTGAGTTTCATTACTGAAGTTTCTATAAATACCTTGTAATGAAGAGACTGACAATCATCAGATATGTTTTAAAAGAGTATGCAATGGACTGAAAGTTTATTTTTCCTCAAAATCCATCAGTTGCAATCCTAACCACCACGGTGAGGGCATTAGGAGGTGAGGACTTTGAGATGATTAAGTAGTGAGGGTAGAACCTTCCTTAATGGGATTAGTGCCCTTATATTAAAAAAAGAAAAAAGGCCCCAGAAAACTCCCTTGGCCCTTTCACCACATAAGGACACAGTAAAAAGATTTTTTGTGAACCAGATATGAGATCTGCTGGTGCCTTAATCTTGGACTTCCCAGTCTCCAGAACTGTGAGAAATAAATTGCTGTTATTTATAAGCCATTAAGCCTATGGTATTTTGTTATAGCAGTTTGAATGGACTAACACAGTATTTGAGAATAATTTGTATATAAATTTGGTTTTTCTCATGCAGGGATTTCTGGATATTTAACTCTATAAATATACCTTTTCACTTGTTAAATGATGGCATGATTCAGATTAAAGCGTGGATACCTGCTTAGCCAGGCTGGGGAAAGAGGAAAGAGTTGGGGTCAGACACATAGGTTACTTCCTACTACAATTTCTGACATGGAAAACTGAATTACAATGGATGTTTTGTTGGAAAACAAACTAAAATAAAAAGGATAGTATTTTTTTTCTAGAACTTTAGAACAGCTTTCTCATCTTGCAAAAGAAAAGGTTTGCCTTTCAGGGTGCAAAAATTGAGCTGTTTATAATAGGTTGATTTATGGATAAAAGGTATAATGTTACTCTTAATGGGAAGTTCCTTAGAATGGTGGGGAGAGCAGGTGAGATAACTTTAAACGACCACAAATGATTTAATGTCATCAAGGAGTGATGAAATGAACACCCTGAGTTCACTTGTGACTCTTCTGTTGGAAGTATCTGACTTCCCGCTGGACAGGGTTAGATTTTTTACTTCTGGATTCCAGTTTATAAGATATTTCAGAAGTGGTTTCTTTTTTGTGATGGGGAAGGGCAGGTGGCAGTGGAAAGAAAATGGAGTCCCAGGTGAGCTTCCATCATCACAACAGTGCGTAGCTTCGGAAGGGATCACTGCATCTGCCTCAGGCTTTCTTCACCTGTTTTACTACCTGATAATACTCTGTTGGTGAGCACTGCAACCTAGGCTCGTGTTGCCCATGTTATTCCGTGTGCACAAACAGTGCGCGACCATCTCTTCTCTCATCACCGGATTTTCTAAAGCCGTGGGTCATCTATTTCTTACAAAGCCATCATTCTCAAAATTGTATTGTTTTCCCTGTAGCATGAGTTTATTACTTTCTGTGGTTTACTTTGTTTACCAAGCTCTGTGAGGTAGATGTGAAATGTCCCAATATTTTACAGAAGACACTGAGGATTGAGAGTTTAGGAAATGGAACTAATGTTACACAGCTTAAAATAGCGAGGTAGGCATTTGGAACTAGGCTTCTTGAGCCCCTAATAATTTTGGCGATCTCATATTTTAAAGCCAATATCATGAGATCATAAATGATCTC